AGGTCACTCAACTTTGGTTCCTTTCATCTCAGCCTCCTTGACTTAAAAAGAACTCTTCTATTATTTTGAAAAAAATATTTAAATAAGCATATTTTATGGTTACCATGCTAAGTTTAATACACACTAACGATGTAATTTGCAAATGAAGGAGTAAAAGAATAGATCGGAGGCATTGTTAACATTTGATGCGGTTATAGCACAGGATTCTACGAGATTGCTAATGTTTAGTGGCGATAGGAAAACTTTACAAAGTACATCCTCTTGAATCGATCACCCAACTTGATGTACTTATGCTTCCTTATTCTTAAACAATGAAAGCATATCTTAATTACTTATTTTCTGTTAATTTATTCTTCGTATCTATCGCTCTTCAGCTCTTTTTCTTCTCTTTTTATCAGTTTGGAATCCCTCAACCGGCTTAGCCTCACATGCCTTGCTTCTGATCTTCGTGAGATCTGGCAGGTTGCTCTTGAGGTGAGTGCAGTATATCGGCATCGCCTGATCCTTGGCCATTGGTTGGCATCCAAAGCCACAGGCTTCCACTGGTGTCAGCAACAGATACATCAACATCGACAGCAAACTGAAATGTGGCGGCCAAATTCTTTTCTTCCCAAACCTAAACCACAACATTCAAGCGCCATCAATTCTTTTCCACCTGGCTCCGTAGACTGTACGAATCAGCAAGAACCTCAGATGCCTACTGAATCTCAATTTGGTTGCTACCTTAAACCTAATCCCGAGTCAACCTGTCCCTTAAATCAACAGACGAGCTCAGATTCACTCCGCAGTGACAGCCACTTGTCCCGTGAGCCAGTATTTTTTAATCGTACATATGAAGACTAAGATTTGGTCGGTTCTTTATGTACAGATTACTTTGTTGGAGAGACAAGTGGACCTTGTGGAACATACCTAGCCCTGTGTCCTTTGTCCTCAAAAATGTATGCGATTAACATCATTGGAACAGTATTTCTTAAACTAAATCTAGCTGGCTAACAGTAGAGGTGTTTGATCATAGACATGGTCCATGAAGCAAAGGCTTGACCATGAGAATCACTCGGATTGTTTAGCCTCAATTTAGTCTCCCAGAGGCAGAGTGTGGGAAATAACGCCTCGATTAGCACAGATAGGGTGGCAGAGGTCGAGGGAAATACTTGAACCATGGGGATAGAAGACGGATCCTACGGGGCAAGAGGAATTCCGATAAGACCCATGGGAGTATGACCGCGGAACATCATGGCAAACTCTGATCGACATTCCCAGCACAAGGGTAAAGGGGGGGTGAGAAAGCCAGCATGGGGTGTGGAGAGTTCTCATGAAATTCGCTCTAAAGGACACACCATATCACATTTAAATAAGCGAGTAAGGAATCGTGATAGTTAAGAAGTGTTACAAGGATATAGGATAGGTGAATGCCCCAGGACAGAAGGTGAGATAGCACAACTGTTTAGCAGACAATTGGTCAAATGATCGGCTTCACTTGTCTGTTTGACAGGGCGTGGTGTAGTGCTAATACTGGCAATGCTCATTGACGATGTGGATTACGATGCCGACGAAACGTCTGGGAATGTACCACATCCACCGTGCGACTGGAAATTAGCATGCATACAGCGGACTCCGGACTAGGTGCGCTCCTCTAAGTCTTCCTACAAATATGACCAAATTGCGAAAACAGGGTCAACAACTTCTAAACCTTTTTTATTTTAGATAGAATTTATCATAAATGTATCTATAAATACCCTGGGTACATCCAACTAAGAAATACTCAGCTAAAATATATAATATTCTATCCAAAGGGCATCCTAAAACCTCATCATATTCTAGTAAGCTCAGCATCATGACTAGCTTCCTCAGCTCTCCATACTCTCATTTCTAGATAAAAGTAATCACAAAGCATGAAAGAGAAGAGTCTGATTAAGTGTCGTCTGCTCATCTCAGGATTGGATCACATTTTTGCCCTTGACTCTTTATTATCAACACCACAACCAGGGGCAGAATAATAAGTTTATATATTAAAAGGGAACCATATAAAGCGAAATAGGCCTGCTTTAAACTAATGTGTAACTCATTTTAACTGTAATGAGATGTATTCACCCTATTTCGTGTAAGGTCATGTAGATTAGTGGTCAGAGTGTTTACCGCTCAGTCCACACATCTACAATTTAAATCCCACCTAAAGTACATATGAAGCTTAAATGAAGCAGAACTTGCAATCTAAGAATGGCTTTTTGGAGTTTAAGACGCATTGCGAATTGGAGAGAAAATCAAAACATATTTATTTCAGCATATTCTATATCAGTTCAATAAAGCTGCTATGCATTTATTCACAAATTCAAAGAAATAATAGGTCATTTAGCAGTACAGCAAATTATATATTTAGAATTGGCGATGTCCTATAGTGAATTTCAACACACTTGTTGGCATATTTTAAGTTTTTATTTAATCAGATTTCTGCTGATAATTTAAACTGGCATGCAAACTGTTTGATAAAAGTGTGTTCTTGTTTTCTAATTGGACTACACCAGCCAAAGGATGCACATTTCTAAGAGCTTATTTTTTCTGTTAGATTTTGTTGGTACCACGGTGAAGACGAGGTGGTGACCGGGCTTGTGCCCGATAGTTGTAGTCTAAGGTGCATGTGTATGACTTGTGTGTGCAATTGACAACGGAGTCTGGACATGAGAATAAGCCGTGCGTATCTCTTGCGCTCGTTCACCTGTTGTAGACATGGTAATAATGAAATAAAGTAGACCTAATGTGCTTGTTACTAAAGGGGCATAGTCAAAAATGTATTTGAGAATAAAAAAAGGCACTAGGAAGGAGACCTTTAGTGCTATCTACTATTCAGTATAACTTTTGCTCGCTCGTGAGCAAACTATGTTGACTTTAGAGGTTGTTTGACCTTGTTTTTGCAACATGGTCATATTGGAACGCACCTAGTCCGGGGTCCATTGTCTGCATGATCATTTCCAAAGTTGAAC